CTCTCTCTCTCTCCTCTCTCTCTCTCTCTCTCTCTCTCTTCTCTCTCTCTCTCTCTCTCTCTCTCTCTCTCTCTCTCTCTCTCTCTCTCTCTCTCTCTCTCTCAAAAGTCTCAGCAATCTATTTTATGCTCTAATGATTTAACATTAATTTTCATTGTAGCAACACGGTATGTACATTGTCAGATTGAAGGTTAAAAAAGGCAACTGCCAGGGTTTACATAATTAGTATCGGAAAAATAATCTGCAAGAATAAATATTCTCATTTGATGCCTTATTGCTTGCCTATTCACAGTCATGCTTCTGTCCCATCGATTTAGATCATATGAACTTCTCCACTACTCTGTTCGTTGTTCCTTTCAAATACCTAGTAATAACAAGTAATAACAATAACAAGAGCAGGGCTTGGGTGCCCTCGTCAGACGCGGACAATTTCACCAATTTTACATTTCTTCGGATAACCGCATTAGTAATGACATGGAATACTTTGCCTGACACTATTTCACACGGTGTCGAATGTTAATTGGGCCGTTTAATGCTTGCTCACTGCAGTTTCCTCTTCGGAAGAACAAATGGCCCCGCGCCTTCACAGCTGACGCGACGACGACAAAGGTAGAGGGTGCCGTGTGTACATAGAAGATACATCAATATAAATATTAGTTCTAGTTGTGTGAAAATATGAAATCACAGGAAAGTCAGATGGAGTTCTAGACAAATTCCCAACAATTTAGCAGTCTGACTATTTGTAGGACAGTCCTTAAGCTTTTTTTGCTTTATTATAATATTCATCTGTGAAACTGTTCAGGTCACCCTTACCATTGTCATTCATTAATTATCATCAGCCTTTTTTTATTTTCATTCTTGATGTTTTTTCCTTCTTTCTCTCTTTTCATATATCTTCTCTGTATCCGTCCTTCTTTTGCCTCTACATTTCTTTTCTAAAAGTAAATTGTTCTGTGGCTACAAATGGACGCAGAAGAGCAATTGTGAAAAAAAAAAACATAAGGTTTTGTAGGATTAAACGCATTCAAATTTCTGTCAAATGCACAAGGAGACTAGTGAGAGCGAAATTGAGTGGTTTGTATGTCTACTCATGTATGTTTGTATGTTTTTATATGCACACAACACACACACACACACACACACACACAACACACACACACACACACACACACGCGCACACACACCCACACAAACACACAAACACACAAAACATATGACACGGGCGGAGTCAGGGCCAGCCGCCCGGAAACTTTTATTTTCGGCTTCAAATATCCCCGGCGTTACTTGGTTGACAAATTCGTGGATAAAAAAAGACTAAAAATGGTCTCCGTCGGGGATCGAACCCGCGCTGTCGCTAAGAGGCGACGGGTAACCACTGCACCACGGATGCATAAATAACATAGGAATTGTAGTTGTATATGTTGTATAGTGTTTACGTAGGTTGCTACAATATGGTGTGAATATCGTGTTAATGTTTGTTTCCTCTCTCTCTCTCTTAATGTAGTCTTGGCAATCTATTTATATNTAGGGGCCTTACTGTGCTCAGGATGTGTGGACGGTGGTGGTGGAGTGGAGTGGAGTGGCTAGGGCCTTAACTGTGCTCAGGATGTGTGGACGGTGGTGGTGGAGTGGAGTGGAGTGCTAGGGCCTTAACTGTGCTCAGGATGTGTGGACGGTGGTGGTGGAAGTGGAGTGGAGTGCTAGGGCCTTAGTTGCTCAGGATAATGTGGACGGTGGTGTGGAGTGGAGTGCTAGGGCCTTAACTGTGGCTCAGGATATGTGGACGGTGGCGGTGGAGTGGAGTGCTGAGGACAGTGGAGTGCTAGGGCCTTAACTGTGCTCAGGATATGTGGACGGTGGTGGTGGAGTGGAGTGCTAGGGCTTAACTGTGCTCAGGATATGTGGACGGGTGGCGTGGAGTGGAGTGCTAGGGCCTTAATTGTGCTCAGGATATGTGGACGGTGGTGGTAGGTGGAGTGGAGTGCTAGGGCCTTAGTTGTGCTCAGGATATGTGGACGGTGGTGGTGGAGTGGAGTGGAGTGCTAGGGCCTTAGTTGTGCTCAGGATATGTGGACGGTGGAGTGGTGGAGTGCTAGGGCCTTAGTTGTGCTCAGGATATGTGGATGGTGGCAGTGGAGTGGCCTTAGGTTTGCTCAGGATGTGGACGGTGGTGGTGGAGTGGAGTGGAGTGCTAGGGCTTAAGTTTGTGCTCAGGATATGTGGACGGTGGGGTGGAGTGGAGTGGAGTGCTAGGGCCTTAGGTGTGCTCAGGATGTGTGGACGGTGGTGGTGGAGTGGAGTGGAGTCTAGGCTTAACTGTGCTCAGGATGTGTGGACGGTGGTGGTGGAGTGGAGTGGAGTGCTAGGGCCTTAACTGTGCTCAGGATGTGTGGAGGTGGTGGTGGAGTGGAGTGGAGTGCTAGGGCCTTAACTGTGCTCAGGATGTGTGGACGGTGGTGGTGGAGTGGAGTGGAGTGCTAGGGCCTTAACTGTGCTCAGGATATGTGGACGGTGGTGGTGGAGTGGAGTGTAGGGCTTAATGTGCTCAGGATATGTGGAGCGGTGGGTGGAGTGGAGTGCTAGGGCCTTAGGTGCCTCAGGATATGTGGACGGTGGTGTGGAGTGCTAGGGCTTAGTGCTCAGGATATGGTGGACCGGTGGAGTGGAGTGTGCTAGGGCCTCTCAGGATATATGAGGACGGTGGCGGGTGGAGTGGAGTGGAGTGCTAGAGGGCTTAGGTGTGCTCAGGATATTGTGGACGGTGGCGGTGGAGTGGAGTGCTAGGGCCTTAGGTGTGCTCAGGATGTGTGGACGGTGGCGGTGGAGCGTGGAGTGGAGTGCTAGGGCCTTAGGTGTGCTCAGGATATGTGGACGGTGGCGGTGGAGTGGAGTGGAGTGCTAGGGCCTTAGGTGTGCTCAGGATATGTGGAGGTGGCGGTGGAGTGGAGTGGAGTGCTAGGGCCATTAGGTTTGTGCTCAGGATATGTGGACGGGGTGCGGTGGAGTGGAGTGCCAGGGCCTTAGGTGTGCTCAGGATGGGTGGACGGTGGCGGTGGAGTGGAGTGGCTAGGGCCTTAGTTGTGCTCAGGATATGTGGACGGTGGCGGTGGAGTGGAGTGCTAGGGCCTTAGGTGTGCTCAGGATGTGTGGAACGGTGGCGGTGGATGTGGAGTGCTAGGGCCTTAGGTGTGCTCAGGATATGTGGACGGTGGAGTGGAGTGGAGTGCTAGGGCCTTAGGTGTGCTCAGGATATGTGGACGGTGGAGTGGAGTGGAGTGCTAGGGCCTTAGGTGTGCTCAGGAATATGTGGACGGTGGAGTGGAGTGGAGTGCTAGGGCCTTAGGTGTGCTCAGGATATGTGGACGGTGGCGGTGGAGTGGAGTGCTAGGGCCTTAGGTGTGCTCAGGATATGTGGACGGTGGCGGTGGAGTGGAGTGCTAGGTTAGGTGTGCTCAGGATGTGGAGGTGGTTGGGGTGGAGTGCTAGGGCCTTAGGTGTGCTCAGGATATGTGGACGGTGGTGGGTGGAGTGGAGTGCTAGGGCCTTAGGTGTGCTCAGGATATGTGGACGGTGGCGGTGGAGTGGAGTGCTAGGGCCCTTAGGTGTGCTCAGGATATGTGGACGGTGGCGGTGGAGTGGAGTGCTAGGGCCTTAGGTGTGCTCAGGATATGTGGACGGTGGAGTGGAGTGGAGTGCTAGGGCCTTAGGTGTGCTCAGGATATGTGGACGGTGGTGGTGGAGTGGAGTGCTAGGGCCTTAGGTGTGCTCAGGATATGTGGACGGTGGCGGTGGAGTGGAGTTGCTAGGGTTAGGGTGTGCTCAGGATTATTGTCGTGAGTGTAGATTAGGTGTGCGGATGTGGAGGTGGAGTTGGGTGGAGTGCTAGGGCCTTAGGTGTGCTCAGGATATGTGGACGGGTGGCGTGGAGTGGAGTGGAGTGCTAGGGCCTTAGGTGTGCTCAGGATATGTGGACGGTGGCGGTGGAGTGGAGTGGAGTGCTAGGGCCTTAGGTGTGCTCAGGATATGTGGACGGTGGCGGTGGAGGAAGTGGAGTGCTAGGGGCTTAGGTGTGCTAGGATATGTGGACGGTGGCGGTGGAGTGGAGTGGAGTGCTAGGGCCTTAGGTGTGCTCAGGATATGTGGACGGTGGCGGTGGAGTGGAGTGGGAGTGCTAGGGCCTTAAGGTGTGCTCAGGAATATGTGGACGGTGGGTGAGTGGAGTGGAGTGCTAGGGCCTTAGGTGTGCTCAGGATATGTGGACGTGGAGTGGAGTGGAGTGCTGGGGCCCTAGGTGTGCTCAGGATAATGTGGGGTGGAGTGGAGTGGAGTGCTAGGGCCTTAAGGTGTGCTCAGGATATGTGGACGGGAGTGGAGTGGAGTGCTAGGGCCTTAGGTGTGCTCAGGATATGTGGACGGTGGAGTGGAGTGCTAGGGCTTAGGTGGCTCAGGATATGTGGACGTGGCGGTGGAGGTGGAGTGCTAGGGCTTAGGTGTGCTCAGGAATGGTGGAGGTGGTGGGTGGAGTGAGTGCTGGCTAGGTGTGCTCAGGATATGTGGACGGTGGAGTGGAGTGGAGTGCTAGGGCCTTAGGTGTGCTCAGGATATGTGGACGAGTGGAGTGGAGTGCTAGGGCCTTAGTGTGCTCAGGATTATGTGGACGGTGGAGTGGAGTGGAGTGCTAGGGCCTTAGGTGGTGTTCAGGATATGCGGGTGGAGTTGGAGTGCAGGGCCTAGGTAGTGTGGACGGTGGAGTGGAGTGCTAGGGCCTTAGGTGTGCTCAGGATGTGGGCGGTGTGGAGTGCTAGGGCCTTAGGTGTGCTCAGGATATGTGGACGGTGGGTGGAGTGGAGTGCTAGGGCTTAGTTGTGCTAGGGCAGTAGTGCTAGGGCCTTAGGTGTGCTCAGGATATGTGGACGGTGGCGGTGGAGTGGAGTGGAGTGCTTAGGGCTTAGGCGTGCTCAGGATCTGTGTGGACGGTGGCGGTGGAGTGGAGTGGAGTGCTAGGGCCTAGGCGTGCTCAGGATCTGTGTGGACGGTGGCGGTGGAGTGGAGTGGAGTGCTAGGGCCTTAGGCGTGCTCAGGATCTGTGTGGACGGTGGCGGTGGAGTGGAGTGGAGTGCTAGGCCTAAAGGCGTGCTCAGGAATCTGTGTGGACGGTGGACGGTGGAGTGGAGTGGAGTGCTAGGGCCTTAGGTGTGCTCAGGATCTGTGTGGACGTGGACGGTGGAGTGGAGTGGAGTGCTAGGGCTTAGGCGTGCTCAGGATTGTTGGACGGTAGTGGAGTGGAGTGCTAGGACCTTAGGTGTGCTCAGGATGTGTGGAGGGTGGGGTGGAGTGGAGTGGGAGTGGAGTGCTAGGGCCTTAGGGGCGGTGCTCAGGATGTGTGGACGGTGGCGGTGGAGTGGAGTGGAGTGCTAGGGCCTTAGGTGTGCTCAGGATGTGTGGACGGTGGCGGTGGAGTGGAGTGGAGTGGAGTGCCAGGGCCTTAGGTGTGCTCAGGAGGTGTGGTGGACGGTGGCGGTGGAGTGGAGTGGAGTGCTAGGGCTTAGGTGTGCTCAGGATGTGTGGACGGTGTGGAGTGGAGTGGAGTGCTAGGGCCTTAGGCGTGCTCAGGATCTGTGTGGACGGTGGGCGGTGGAGTGGGAGTGGAGTGGAGTGCTAGGGCCTTAGGTGTGCTCAGGATCTGTGTGGACGGTGGCGGTGGAGTGGAGTGGAGTGCTAGGGCCTTAGGCGTGCTCAGGCTGTGGTGGAGGTGGGTGGAGTGGAGTGGAGTGCTAGGGCCTTAGGCGTGCTCAGGATCTGTGTGGAGGTGGCGGTGGAGTGGAGTGGAGTGCTAGGGCCTTAGGTGTGCTCGGATGTGATGTGGTGACGGCTAGGTATTAATGATAATAAAAGTGATAATAATAATGATAGTTATGATACTACTAATGGCATAATATTGATAAGATATAACAATAACTGGATAAATATGATGATAATAACAATAATAATTATATTAATAACAATAATAATTATATTAATAACAATAGTGATAATGATAATAACAATGATGATAATAATAACAGTAATAATGATAATGATAGCAATGGTAATAATAGTAATGCTAATGATAATTTGATGATTATTATAATGGTCAGGATGGTGATGTGAACGGCTTGGATGATGATAATTACAACAACAATAATGATCTTTAATGATAACTATAATAATAAAAATGATAATGATATTAACAATAATAATAATATAATAATATAATAATAATAATAATAATAATAATAATAATATAATATAATAATATTATAATAATAATGATCAGTAATAATAATAATGATAATAATAGTAATATAATAATGGTATTAATGATAATAAAGTGATAATAATAATAGTTATGATACTACTAAGACAATAGTATTGATGATAATAATAACTATAACTGCAATAAAGATAATGATGATGATAATGATAACAATGATAATCATATTAATAGCAATGATAATGATAATAACAAGATAATGAAATAACAATGATGATAATAATATCAGTAATAATGATAATACTGATAGTAACGGTAATAATAGTAATGCTAATTATAATATGAATAATAATAATTATGATAATTATAATAATAATTAATTATGATAATAATGATAATACTGATAATGATGATATTGATACTAATAATAACAACGATAATAATAGAATTTCAATTTCAGTTTGTTGTTAATCAAATCCATTTTATTGTACTGCTTCTGTTTGCAGTATCTATATATAACTCTTGTCTCTGTCTGTCTGTCTCTCTCTCTCTCTCTATGTATCTATCTATCTATCTATCTTTCCTCATCTCTTCTGTCCTCTCTATGTTTATCTATCTATCTATCTATCTTTCTTTTCTCTCTCTCTCTCTCTGTCTGTCATATCTATCTATTCATCTATCTTTCTCTTCTCTTCTCTCTCTCTCCCTTTCTTTGTTCTTTCTCCCTCTCTTACAATTGGTATCAACCTCACTGTGTATATTTAGTGCTGTGTTTACAATTCTTAGTTACTTTTATCTTTATCGTGAAGAGAAACAGGAAAGATGGGAACACGAAAAAATTGCTTATATATGTAAGTACTTATTTATTTTTGTATGTTGCTTTTAGTTCATTCATCATTATCCATCACTACTGTTATTCTTCTTCTTCACGTTGTTAGAGAAATTATCAACACTGCCACTGGTATTAGCGTATTATCATTATCATTATACCATCGAAATATGAATCAACAAATAAGTGAATTATATAAGTACTCCAGGTACAATATGTCTGGTATGGAACGACCAACAAATCGGAATACCAGGGTCGATTCCTCATCAATTATTCAGTTATTCAGTTTTATTTATCTTATTTATTTTATTTTATCTATTTTATTTTATTATTCAGTTATTCAGTTTTATTCTATTTTTATTTTATTCAATTATTCAGTTATTCAGTACTTATTGTTATCATCTGATGACAGAATTTATTAAGGTAATAATTATCATAGTAATAAGAATGACCATCATACCTTTAAACAAGATACACACATTTTCTTTTTTTTCTTCTCATTTTCCCTAAGGATTTAGATTAAAATTCCCGATACTTGTGGGCGTGGGCCTCGAGAGGGCGCTGACCGCCGCGCCTCCGCCTGCCGACCTGTGGGCACGGGGCAACGACGGCTGCTCCCTGGCACTGGCACGGGGCAACGACGGGGTCTCCTCTGGCACTGGCACGGGGCAACGACGGGCTGCTCCCCTGGCACTGGGCACGGGGCAACGACGGGCTGCTCCCTGGCACTGGGCACGGCAACGACGGGCTGCTCCTCTGGCACTGGCACGGGGCAACGACGGGCTGCTCCTCTGGCACTGGCACGGGGCAACGACGGGCTCCTCCTCTGGCACTGGCACGGGGCAACGACGGCTCTCCCTGGCACTGGCACGGGGCACGACGCTGCTCCCCTGGCACGGGCAACGACGGGGTGGCACGGCCTCTCTCTGGCACTGGCACGGAACGACGGGCACTGGGGGGCAACGACGGGCTCCCCCTGGCACTGGCACGGGGCAACGACGGGCTCCTCCTCTGGCACTGGCACGGGGCAACGACGGGCTGGCACTGGCACGGGGCAACGACGGGCTGCTCCCCTGCACTGGCACGGGCAACGACGGGCTGCTCCCCTGGCACTGGCACGGGGCAACGACGGCTGCTCCTCTGGCACTGGCACCGCGTCCGCTTCTGATGCTGAAAAGAAGGAGAAAACTGTGATGGCAATATTAGCATCACTAACTATGATTATGATATTATAATTATTATAATCATATTAATATTATGATTATAATAATAATAATATAATTATTATAACACTAGCATTATGATTAACCTTATTAGCATTTTCTAATAATGCTTTTATCATTCATCGATGTTTATGATATTGCTATTAATATTATTATTTATCATATCAATTTTATTATCTATCATATTGCTTTTAATCTTATCATTATTGCTGCTTTCATTACCATTTCTAGAACACATGAATATCACAACTATTGTCATTATTATTATCCTTACTATAATAATTATTGTTATTATCATTCTAATTATCATCACCATTACCATCATTTGAACCTACTGGTGTCTTATGTCTATGGGATGTAGGCTTATGAATATATAAATATATTATTTTTTCCGTATCTATTGTTTGCCTTTATCAAGAAGTGGTATTTATTCGTGCTTTCATATTATTTTATATTTATACAATATTTTCATATTTTATACAATATACATTTTATACAATAATGAATATATAATTTTTTTGAGTGTGTGTTTCATAGCAAAAGGTTATACCAGGGTTCGTATACTTTTAATGATATATAGACTATGGGGTCTATTCTATTTTTAGCCAAATTATAATGACTTGCCTTACAGTAAGTATTATATATATATATATATATATATATATATATATATATATATATATATATATATATATATATATATATATATATATATATGTATATATATATATATATATATATATATATATATATATATATATATATATATATATATATATATATATATTAATATATATATATATATATATATATATATATATATATATATATATATTATAACATTACGACATTGCCCTCTATGTCTAGCAACAGGGTCCGCATTCAGCTGCAACAGAAGCGCGTGAGTCAGACTGCTTGTACCGAAGGCGACGTCTCGGGTCGCGGTTGGCGAAATTGGATGTTTGTGAAGCGGAGGACTGGGCGGGTAAAGGAGGATTCCTTTGCGGCGGCCTAGTAAATTGTCGTTTTATCCCTACCTACTATCTATCATCCTATCTATCTATTCTATCTACCTCTATATACTTACTAATAATATTTATATATCATATACGTATATATACCATATATAACTACGTATAATACTATATACATACATATAACACACTCCGCCACCGACACAAATACACATATACGCCTCTGCAGCAACATAAACACATACACGCACCAACATGGCAGCAGAACAAGGAAGAGAAGAAAAAGAAAACAAGAACTAGTAACGCGAAAAGGCCTTTTCCGCTGAATGCTGACCGAAGCAAATAGCGCACAAAGGCTTCGTATATTCGTGTGGTTTTCTCTTGTTCTCCCTTCGTTGTCCTGTTGCAGTTTGTTCGTCATGAAGTCCACGAAAGCACTGAACATAAACATCGCCGCCACATCCCATGCACGCACCGAAACACAAATATACACGCATACCACACAGACAACACAAAGCACACCACATGCACCTTTTCCCAACACAACAAACACATCACACATACCCGTCGGCGCCAACCAAACACCACACACATGACCGCACCAACTACAAACAACATCACACAATACACAAAGAACAACACAAGCACACCCACAGTGCCGCCCCCAACACAAATATAACACACATAACACACAGAAAAACAAGCACAAGCACACATGCAC